AACACATTTTGACACATCAATGTCACAGTGTTCAGCTTCATAGCAACCACCAGTTACCTCTGGCTCTCATTTTAGTTATTAAATATGACAGCAGTGTTTAAGTAAATTATTCCAGAAGTCTTAAATAAGAGATAAAGCTGTACTTTCTCATTTGCTTTTCTCTACCTATGATAGGACAAAGCTCCCTTAGAAGAATCAGAAAGATAATCTTTACAGATTTACCTGTCTCCTGAAGAGCAGCTAGGAGATTTACACTGCCTTTCTTTCAGTTAGCTAAGCTCTTTTATCACTATGCCACCAGAGCTCCTGTGACTTTCTACAATAATTCAGAAAGCAAGCAAAGCTGTAAGCAGCTAAAATAACTGAATCAAAGCAGGAAGGATCCTGTTCAGAGAACCTTGAGACCGTCTAAGCCCATTTTGTCACAATCTGGACTAGGGGCCACCTCAAAATGTAAGTCTACAAGTATAACCTAAAGTAAACAGAAGCAGATAATGGTAGATGTACTAAGAGGAATGAAAGGCAACAGATGACATCCCAAGAAGATACAGAAATAGACTAAATTTTAAACTGAAGAATCAAAGTAATTTGCCCAGTAAGACAATAAATCTCTGTACCCGAACAGTCCTTAAGGGGCATAACATTAGAACAGAGTATTAAAACTGACATTATAATAATAAAGATCAATCTGTCATCATTGTGGTTATGCTTTATGTTCTTTGGCACAATGATGAATACAACTGTATTTCTTATCTTCAACAAATTAAATGACATTTTATAAACTGTTTAATAATGAGCTTATATCATCTACAGAGCATTGATATTTAAGGGGTTAAGTTTCAGTACTACAAAAAAAGGTAGTTAAAACATCATCAATATATTTGAAAGTTAAGCAAGGAATACTTCTCTATATGAAGATTTAATTATTTGGCATTATTATGCTGGTGGATGGTATTTTGTGAATCTTTAAAATCTAACTGAATTACTAGCTCATGTAACCTTTCAACTGTATTTAAAAAACTAATGACTACTTAATAAATAAAATAGATTTAAAGCCTTCCCCAGGAGCTTTAAATTTGTTTCTTTCCCAGTCATCTACCAAATACCTTAGGGAAAAAAACCCCATGTTTTCTGATTGAGAAAGTATTATCAAATATAAGCAACACTATCCATTAAACGGTGACCACTGATTTCTCAAATGGAGATGAGGTGATTCCAACAAACTATCCCTGGATAGCTGATGTGAAAAATATAACTAAAAGAAAACAATACCCCAAAGAAAGCATAACCGCTACCCAAGCAGATATAATATGCACAACCATGTTTATTGCAGCTTTGTTCACAACAGCAAAGAGTTGGAAACAACCTAAGTGCCCATCAACAAACGAATGAATAGAGAAGCTGTGGTATATTCACATGATGGAATACTACACTGCATTGAAAAACAAGGAACTCGTGCAATAATATTCAAAATGGGTGACATTATGCTGAGTGAAATATCTCAGTCACAAAAGGACAAATACTGCATAATGCTACTGTTGTAAAATGGGACTGACATAGGGGTTTGGGAGGAAGAATAGAAAGATGGGATAAATTATGTATACTGCATTGAAACAGGTGAGAGAAAACTGTTTAAAAGGTATAGATGATATGATTGAGTATTATTGTCATGACATGAGTTCAGAATGAAGGCTGCATAATGGAGTGGACTTGGGGGGAGGGATTGTATAACAACGAAAGAATTTTTCTTTAACTTTTCAAATGAAGGCTGTGTAGTAGAGTGGACTTGGGGGAGGGATTGTATAACAATGAAAGAATTTTTCTTTAACTTTTAAAAAAGAAGAGTGTACTGGGGGGAGGGGTGGGCAGGGAGAAAAGTGCAACAATGAATGAATGGAAATCTAAAATATAAATTTTCATTAAAATGAATAATAATAAAAAACAAAAAAGAAAACAATAAATATTACACATAGGTCTAAGGATAAGACTACCTCATCATCTTCAAACATAAGTAACAACATGCACTTAGTAGAGAGAATATCAAGATAAGTTTGAAAATGCTTTACCTTCCCATAGCTGTAGACTCTGTGGAGCAACTGAAGGCCAGATGACAAGATTGTTGGCTTCAAAAAGAGGATTAGTAAATTTACTCAGTTCACTGGGTCGATTGACCCAAGACCACAAAGACATCGTTTTCTGCTGTAACTTCAATTTACATCTGATCAACAAAAAAAAGTGGCATTAAAGCAATTAATTTGTGTCAGTACTAAGTGCTCTTCTCAATAAGGCAATTTCTCCTCTCTGTATGTTAGAAGGCTGACCACAAAATTTCTGGCTAAGAAACACAGTAAAATAAAATAGTTGTCAGAAAATCTGATCTTGTTCAGTTTTTTATTATTAATATTAATTTTAATGAAAATTACAGAGACTTTGGATTTCCATTCATTGTTGCACTTTTCTCCCTGTCCACCCCTCCCCTCCAGTACACTCTTCTCTTTGAAAAGTAAAAGAAAAATTCTTTCATTGTTTACAATCCCTCCCCACAGGTCCACTCCACTATTCAGCCTTCATTCGGGACTCCTGTCATAACAATAATACCTAATCACATGATGTATACTGTATTGAAACAGATGAGGGAGAAAACTGTGTAAAAGGGATATGTGATTAGGTATTATGATCTTGTTAAGTTTTAACTGAACAAGAATAAAGACTTGTTTTTCTAAGCTTCCAAAGCTGGCCAGGAATGTAAAACCATAACCGAGTTGTCTTTCTTATTTAATGCTGCTGTAACTGAGATACCACAACTGGATGGCTTTAATGAACAAATTTATTCTTTAATAGTTTAGGAAATGAGAAGTTCAAATCCAGGGTGCCAGCACTAGGGGAAGATCCTTTCTTACGTGGTCTAGAAAGATTCTCTCCACTACTTGGGATTCTTCCCTGGTGCTACTGAGGTCCTATCCTGTCTCCTGCTTCCCCTTCAACAGGTCACATTATTCCTTTTTTAACTCTTATGAGATAAATGGTCACACACTAAGGAAACTCCTTATACACTGGATTAAGGGTATGGTTGGATTAGAATGTTAAATGATCCAGGAAGTA